CGATACATTCGTATTTCTTCGGTTCGTGCTGAGTTGATGTATTCCTTATTGTTGTTATTATATGTAAATGATATTATGCCGTTTATTTGTTTGTACTGATTCGATTTGAATGATATATTGTGAATAATAAAATTTGCTTTGTACAATTCACTTGTACCGCTGCATGAACATCGAGTTAAGCTCTTTATCAAGTATTGTAATGATCATATGTACGGAACATGATCAACTCCTTAGAATTTGAAGATGTCGCAATTGACTGAAGGAGAAGAAGACATCAGTTATGCATTTCCTTGAGTAATTTCAATGAGTCAATAGAAGAGGATAATGATATATGAAAATGATGTGTAATGATAGATCACTGAATGAAATGAACAATAAAAGCGATTGACCTTAACTGACGAACGAATGCAGCTTGCTGATGTGAGCATTTGACTATAGAAACCATTCGATTCACTTGAAAGTAACCAATTTACAAAGAAACGAATGCATTAACTGTAGGTTATGAACGAGATTTAGAGAAACTTCCTCAAGGCTACTAATTGTATCAAGTTAAAATGGATTGTATCCTCTGATCTTCCCAGCAACCTCATAATTTTCGTATACATTTTATGAAGTACGAGTACTAGTTTAAGAAAGTATGTATGATATGTTTTTGAACAAGAACTTCAATTTGTTAGGATAAAATCTCATTAAAAAATCATACTCTGATTGTCAGTTTACTAACAAATGTCACATATGAATTCGATTAACATTGTCACATAAATTGAACTTTATAAGGCCGAAACGAGTGGAAATTAATTAATGAAATCTCGGATTATCATGTTCAATTATTAATTTTTTTTGGTAAGCATAAAGTGTGCTCTCGCCTTCATTTGTAAACCAATATTTTTGCGTTTCTGCTTGTTCTCACTGAATTATACCGTAACAGCTGATTATCTCCGCATATACTTATTGCAGAAGTATTATTCATATTCTTGTGTCGCTCAACTCTATTGCTGCCGATAGTGTGAAGAATGGTGCTCGCTTTTGTTAATTAATTGTTTACTAAAGGGTTGAATTTCTTTTGAGTGGGTTGTTCGTAATATAATTTCAGGAAGGCATCTAACCGAATCGTTAAACTGTCGTCACAAAGCATAGATCTGTGATGGCCTGCTCGCGGCAATCGAATCTGAATCTCTTAAATCCACCATATTCACGTTTCTTCGTCCCTGCTTCCATGGTATATCCGTTTCGATGACTGATTTATATGTTTGAATAATTGATGATCCATTATGATAAATGATAATGAAAATCAGATTTGTCGATTGAGTATCGTCAAACGTGAACTGAAACAAGCGATTGAGTCCGAGAATGCGAATGTGGATGACCACTCGCATAATCGCTTGAATGAAGATTTGCTGATTGATCGATGTGTGGACATCGCTGTGGGTGCTGTTGGAACCTCGTCGGCTCTTCACCTCATCGGAACCGCATACTTCATCTATAAAAAACAATGCATGGTCAGTTCACATTTTAAGAGGGTTGATCGAATTTCAGAAGATATCCTCCCATACGTGAAATATAAAAAGTTATCTCGAATCTGTTATCTGAACATATCTCACGCTCATATTAATGCCTTCATCCACCCTTCCTCCTCAGTCGTCTCCAAAAAAAAACGCCTTTAGTAAAGTAGATTTGAAAAATCCGTCAGCATCAACAATTGTGGAAAATTCACGCGAAAAAACCATTCTTTATTAATCTGTCGTCTTCTTAAATTTTTTCCCAACTCTCCAAATCCACAATCCAGAAAATTATCAGTCGAGATGGAGTTGCGTTCAAATTTGATTTGATTTATGAATTGAAGATGAGCGATCGTGATCGAGAGAGAGCTGCCAGGAAGCATTTCGCATTGAAATATTTAAGTGATCAATTGAGTCCTGAAGATCGTATATTCTGTTACATTATGTTCAAATTACCGAGTGCAGTCGTAAGTTGGCATTGTTATTATTATTGAGCAATTTGACTGACAATGCTGTGGTGATAATGAAGTGATGCTAAACGTTATTCAGACAATCCAAACGAAAATGATTCGTGAGACAATTATGAAAACAAAGTGTGCGGATTTGATGCAATGGCGTGATAGCACTTATTCAACAGTTACATCGATCCCTTGTATTGAACTGCACATCAAGATTGTACTTCAGCATCTGTATATCGCATCGTTCAGATCTTTATTGCACGACAGATTTCGTTTGATCAAGGAGAAGGATGTTGGTTATTTTGTTCCTTATTGACATGAACACTTATTGCTGCTATTGGAATGACTGATAATGACAAATTTTCAGATAGAATGCATAGTGATCTATTCAGAGTTCAGTGATTTTGGTTTTGATGTGAGAAAGGCGTTGACTTTATTTGATAAGGATGCGATTTTGGTGGTTAATATGCCGTCGATAACATCGATACCACTTGATGTTTTCGTTCAGATCCATAGGTGGCGCACGAAAGGTTATTTTATTATTTCTTATTTTATGAATAATTATTATTACTATTGTTATTGATGTTGGTGTAAATTATAGAACAACGCGTATGTGTGGCATGCGATACAGATGGATTAACAGTGTCAGGTCTGTTGACTGCACATTACTTAGCACTCATAACCAAATACTCAGTTAATGAAACGATAAAGGCAATCAAACTCATCCATAGATCTTTTGTTCCTGAGCCGCAATTCGAGCATGAATTGTGTGATTTTGAGTTACTGGTTGGTTTTTATTTGATATTGTTATCTTTGTTTTTGATAGTGTTACGTTAGTATGGGCGATAAGTGTGGTGAACAGATAAATAGTCATCAATAGTCAATAGTGATTTAATGTTATCTTTATTGTTGTTGAGTAAAATAAATGTCCAATCGAAGATAGAATCGTTATGTGGTAATGATTGATTACATAATTAAGGATGAACAAAGGAACCAATTAGCACTTCAAGTGTTGACATCAAGTTCAATGAAAATGTTTGATGAAAGAATGATACATAATTTGTTATANNNNTGTTATTGTGGTAAGGAGTAGGGAAACGATTAAAAGTACTGAATTTATGTTCGATGCATGTTTGCACGAGAAACTGGACGACGTGCAGTGCCGGGTCGATTTGCAGATGTCGGATTCGAATCGCCGATTGGTGTGTCTGCGGACAATCTGAAATGTACTTTTTATTTGCTGATTGTTCGGGTTGAATTGTATCGTGATTAATGTGTGCATATGAAAAGAGAATCGAGCGATTAATTGTTTTATTGAATTGTATTCGATTGTTTCGATGACTCTAACATGTTGCTCAGAGTGATTTTATCATACAGCATCAATTGTTACTGATATTATTGTTATCGTGATAGCATTATGTGACTGATCATTTTGAGGATTATTACTGTTATCGGTGTTATTATTAATTATCATTGTTACTGTTATAATTGCTCACTGCATTTTGTTTGCCTTCTTAATTGTTACTGAACGAGATCGTTGGAAATTTAGTGCGATTTGATGGTGTCGTTTATTGAAATGTAAAGGAATCTGTATGATAATGGTGGTGATATATTCGNAGTGTTCGTTTTATTGAAGGGAATTGGTGCTGTTCGAGTGATTAATCATTGAAGATGCATATTTTATAAGGATTAATAAATAAACGAATGATTGATTGAATTGACTCTATCTGCTGGTGTTGAAGATTGCTTTGGGTTTGTGATGATGAATTTTGTTTGTTTTTTAATTTGGCCGATAGTATTTTGATCAGAGATCGCCACATCAACACTTGCTCGGCTGCCTCCTCGTAGGATCGTCCAGTCGGAAGACTCGACGAATTTTGCCGATTCAAATTCTCTGTTTCCATATTCGCACGACTGATCTCATTCTGGAGGAGAACATTTCATTAGACATCATTTAATGAAATTTGCTTGTAGGATATGAATATATAAGATAGACAGTAATAGAAATAAGAATATTCAATGGAGCACTTGAATGAATAAGTCAAATAATATGATGTATAATAGTACTAATGATAATTTGAATTCAAAGAGGAAACGACCTCGATAAGCTCAGCCAGTTTTGGTTGATCACCGTTTTGCTCATCATTCAGTCTCTCAATAATGGCATTCTGAATTTCCAGTTCGATTTCTGAACGAAACACTTTCCAGTTCACCGTCGATAACTGTTGTTCCATCGATTTCACATCCTTTAAAATCAATGCTCCTTTTTGGTTACGATTGAAGTAATCAGTTTGATGATAAGCAACATAATGCATTGGTAATATTCATTTCGTTTGAACCATTATTGAGAAATTGAATAATTAGATGATGAAATGTGTAATGATTAATTTAAATGATAAATGCGATGATCAGTTTGATATTTTCTGATACGATTGACTAATGCCTTTGCCGTGTTTTGTTCTGATTAGCGACAACGATAGAAGAAGTGACTGATACCTCTTGCAAGCGAGAGAACTCATTTTCGAGAGTCGCAGCCATACTTTCATAAGTTCGTCGTTTAGCACTGTATTTATCGTTCAGTTCCTTCAGTTGTGCAACATATTAATGAAACAACAGCCATTTTCGGATTTTCATTGGTGATTCGTTGAGTTTAAAATTCTTAGCGGCTTACACGATTGACTAATGGTAATTTTAATGATGATCACTATTGATAATCACTATTAACGGTAATCACTATCAATGGCTTAATGTGTTAACAAAACAATCAACGTTGTGAATAATGATTGAAATGGTAATACCCATTAGTGGATATATTCAAACGATGCGTCTAACACAAATTAAAACGAACCAGGAATTCACTATTCAATTGACTGCAACTATCATTTAGCTCGGTATTGACGTTTTTCTTCTCATCGATTCGATCACTCAGTTCTTTGATCATTCGCTTCAATTCGTCCACATTTTCACTCGATGGCTTTGCAGTTTTCGGTCTTTCGTACTGATTCGAAGCCGTATTCAGTTCAGTTATCGTACAACCACTCGTTTCCTGCAACTCATTTATTCATTAATGCACTTTCTCAGCTTTCGAATTTATAAGTCACCCACAAGCCCATATGGAATTAGTGCATTTGTAAGTAATCACTATTATTATGATCAACTGCTCTCTCGTCCCGGCAATCTTGCTCACTCAGTCATGCTAGTCTCATTTTCGATCAGCTCTGATCCATTTTTCTGAGTGAGTTTTAATTGTTACGTATGCTCCTCTTTTCCTACAGGCAAATAAGCATTAAATTTATGGTGCATAATTATGCATCAAAAAATCAAAAAACTGCAGTGCTTTAATCTCAGTTCATCTCCGTTCACACGAAATTCACAGCAGTAATCTCGGTATTAAAATGCATGTCTCAATAAGCACTTACAATGCGTTCCTTCAACGAGTTCCATTTCACTTTCAATATGTCTTGTGTCCTCGCCAGAATCGTATTCTCTCCTTTCAAATCGTCGATTTCAGCACGTTTCTTCTTATACGATGTCGTCTTGCTTCGTAATTTATTCACATAGTTTTTGAACTGCAATTTTAATAATCAAACATTCATTCACTTCATTCGATTTCAAATGACACAAAAATAAAACATAATTTCATATAGTTTCTTCTATATTCTCATCAAGTTTTATTTGTCTGTTTTCAGATTTTATTCACACATTATTTATCTTTCAGTGCGATTAAGATATGAGCGATTTCTTTCTCCAACGAATCTCATCACAGATCACTGATTGAGATGGAACAAAGCGATTAATTTTTAAAACTATATCAGATCAAAGTTTAAGGTGATCCAANTGTTCAAGTTCCATCTCACTGAAATATTTGAAATAGTTTCACGAACCTGCACAGATGAAATAACATCACTACCACCAGACTTATCTTTCAATTCGTTCTTCTTCAATTCAACCATACTCTCGAGCTGTTGCAATTCACCTCTACAAATTGCGATTCAATAATCAGTATCATTCAATCGATACTGATTTGACGCATATCGAGACATAAACCATACCTGAGTTCGTGTAATTTCTGTGCAGTGATGTTCTTCTTACGGGCAACAGCACTCGCCTGATGTCGGTATATTGATAACTTATCAGTTGTCTCGTCCCTTCGATCTCGTTCGTTGATCATCGCCATTATCTCTTCATTCACTTCGTCGATCTACGGTCAATCAGCATTTATTAATCAGTCCAACCGCATCAGCTATCATCTACAGTAGGATTTCTCAACCCAGGGCGCTCGCATCTCCAAGTGGTATGAGATGATACTCCAGGGGATAGGAGATAAGGTTTTAGCATCTATAAATCAAGTAGACGAGAGCCGATTTCAACACATATTTGTGTATGAAGCAAGCCTGCATGGATTTGAACGTAGGTATTTTGAAAGGCTAGAAAGTACACTTATTTACACTATAGACTAGTGGTTCTCACGCTCGGGTGCTCCATTACCCCTTTTGATGATCTAGCAGGTCGCCGTTACACCCACCCCCTCCCCGACAACCTTAAATTACCGAAAACGGATAATTTTACTTCCAATGCGAAACTATCATAGACCATTGTATTGTTCATTATTGCAGTTGATTATGATTGCATGAAAAGCTATTCAGATGGATTCTCATTCTTTTTAGACGTGTTGTATTCACTCTCAT